GCTACTGAGGCAGGTCGCACCTGATGTATAAAATCATGTGGGTGAGTTCTTCGTTTGGTTGGATCTACTGTAGTTAGGGATAAATTACTTGTAATTTTGAATAACTTGATCCCAAATAAACAAGGGCAGGACAGCCGAATTAGAAAAAAAAATAAGTATAATTGTTAGATACATCTATTTACCTCCTGTCTGATTTAAAAATTATACTTTTTATCTAATTAGTATCTATTATATTGAATTTATATAAATGATCAATATATAATATTAAAATTAAAAAATTGATTATTTTTTTAAAAATTGCTTTTATCTTAAAATTTCAGTTATGAAACTAACTTTTATATTCTAGAAAAAAAATTTTTGTGAAATTTTAGTAAAGTTTCTTTTTTTAAAACACTATTTTTACTTTAATAACAAATAATATAAAATACACCTATGGTGATCAACACCAATAGTTACACAATATATTTATTATTTGTTAGATCGATCGTTATATAATTATGAAATTTAATTTGTTACACAAAAAAAGTTTATTAAATTAATATTTATTTACTGATTTTTAGTGACTACAATTTCTTTCGCGCTTTAATTTCTTTATTCTAAGTTACTTTACCATATATTGTCTGGATTGTATTGTTTTTACAGTGCTATTTTATCGTATCGCATCTATTTTACCGTATCGCATTAACTATCATTTTTATCGTGTCATCTTTACTGCGGCTCCTTTACAGTTTCGTTTTTACAATTGATATATCGTGCCGCCTTTGTAGTACTACTTTTACTGCTTCGCCTTTTCCGTTTCGCTTTTACTGTGTTATTTCACAGTATCATTTTTATCGTGCCGGCTTTATATCTGTGTTGTTCACTGTGTGTCGCCTTTTTTTGTGCCGCTTTAATACATTATCGATATTTTCTTTCCTGTCACATGTATCTTTTTTCCTGGCTTTATCTTTCCGGATTGTATCTTCTTTCTGGATTGTATCTTCTTACCGAATTACCTTTCATTCAGGTTTGCTTTTTTTTTTGAACTTCCTTTTCTTTCTGAATTGTCTTTTCCTTCCGGTATCTTTGTCTTGTGTTGCCTTTTTTTTTTTTTAGGCCCTTATTCTATTTGAGTCACGTGTTTTTCGAATCATCCTTTTCTCTTTCATTTTTCTTACTGCATCATTCTCTCTTTGGCATTGTGTCAATTTTTTTTCGGTCACTTTATTATAATTATGGATAACTTACCTTTCTTCTATATTGATATGATGACTTGCCTTCCTTCGGTATTGATGACAGTTATGAGAGCTTTATTAATGCTGAAGCGAATGATATTGAGATCTCTGAATATATTTACAGCATGGAATACAATGATGAGGAGGTGGTACCTGATAATGATGAATTAGATTCAGAGGATGACCGTGAATTTACCTATTCGTTGAATAAAAATCAAACCTTCAGTTGTTAGGAAGATGTCGACAAGTAAGTTTAAGATTAAAAAAAAAAAATTATAACTAGAATTTGCCATTCTTAATAGATTAACTATTGTTTTTCTTATGCAAATTTAATAGATGGTTTAAATGTCATGGGCAAGAGAAAGGGTTTGCATTTTGTATTACGCATAGTGAAAATGATAAAACTGATCAACAACCTCGGCGTCGTGTATATTCATATACAAAAGGACAGAAATATATGCCACACAAAGAAGCACATGTGCTTGATGAATGAAATAAAGGTCGCAAAACAAATGGTTGTCCTTTTTATGTAAATTTATATCGATGGAAAAATAATAATCAGATTTGTATTTCAAGTATTGTTGGCAATCACAGTCATGAAATAGTTGAAAATGTTATAATATCAGAACCAAGGTATCGTCGTTTAACAAAAGAAATACAAGATGATATTTGTCTACTTACATCTTGTGGTGTACAGGCTGGTGCTATTGTGGAAGTTTTGCGTATGAATATATTTATCAGGATTTTTTTGTTACGTAACATATACAATATGATACAATCAATTCGCTGTGAAAAGCGTGTAGGGGGTGATGCTGGTAGCACATATTTAAAACTAATCAAAAAACAACAGGATAAACCAGGTTATTATGTTGATGCGAGATTTGAGGGAATAGACAACCATCTAGTTAGTCTTATGTGGATGCAACCAAGCCAAATACAGCTATGGGGTAGATTTCATGATGTTGTACTTATGGATACAACTTTCAAAACAAATCGTTATTCGATGAAGCTCTGTGTTGTAGTGGTTATTGACAATCACAACCGTTCACATTTGGTAGCAACTGCTATTACATCAGATGAGTCGAAAGAAACTTTTTCATAGTTTTTAGAGAATTTATTTAAAGCAACTAATGGCTTGACACCAAAACTATTATTCACGGATGCTGATTGTGCAATGATTGTAGCTATAAATGAAACTTTTCCAAATACAAAGCATCACTTTTGTCTTTTTCATATTAGAAAAAATTTGGAAAAACGGTTTTTGTGTAAGTATAAAGATGAAAAATGGATGGAGTTTTTTAATACATTTTGTTATGTTCGGAATAGCCGTATGGAAGCAGTTTTTGAAAGATGTTGAGCAGATATGTTACAGAAGTATCCCGATTGTACGTCATATTTGGAAAGACAACTCTACTCGTGTCGTAAGACGTGGGCTCTTTGTTATATGCATAGATCATTTAATACAGGAGTACAAACTACACAACAAGTTGAATCATATAATAATATTATTAAAAGGCATGTCAACGGCACTTCGTTTTTATTTGAATTAAGTAATGTCATTGAAAGACTGCTTATTAAGGAGGATCGATACCAGCGCTTTAATGAAGTTGAAGGTGTATTACTAAATATCTACAATGAAGACTATTATTGTAAATATTTTAAGGCCGTTGATGAATCGTGCCAGAAGTTTTTAACCACTGCAATTCTTAAAATTCAACGGCAAGAAATAAATCACAGCATTCACTACCGGGCACATTTAACAAATTTAGAAGATGAAGTTGGGATTCAGGTATGTTTTCTTTTGCTATTAAGTAGTAATGTGCATTTTTATGTTTTTTTGGATTTTTTAGCGTACAGTTTTTTTACTTATACATTTTTTTTTATAGTCAACTGATAATACATCAACCAGAATGTTTACTGAGGATATGTATGACGCATTTGTCATTGAGCTCGAGCAACTAGTTCTTAATTTAGATCATGCACATATTAATGAGGTCTGGAAAGTTCTATCAATTGATATGAAAAGCCAACATTTTATAGTTCTGTATGATGATGCAATGCATCTTTGTACCTGTCTAACGTTAATTAACCGTGGAATTCCCTGCCGCTATTTTTTTATTGTCAAAAGTTGCTAAGTTTTATGTTGGACTTGTATCACGCCGATGGTATTTAGACAAAGCAGCCTGTGAAACTGATATGGGTATTATGAGTGAGCCTGCAATTTCAACAGTAGTTAACGAGCAATTTGAATCGTTTAAGCATAATTTACATGTCAACTTTGCGCATCTTGATGACATTCGTGGTAGCTATGTTTTTACTAATAAAGTTCGTAATGAAATGTCACTCAAGAAACAGTGGGGTGAAGGGTTTGGTATTATGAAAAAGACGCTTGATTTGGCGATTTCGATAAGAAGATATGACGAACTATATGAAATGCATATTAATCTTTCAAAAGAAATGGAGATAGAGCTCATAACAAACAATGGACGCAATATTTTAGACAATGATGATCCTGTTGAATTTGTGATTACAATTAATAATCCAATTGGCATCAGTTCAAAAGGTCGAAAACCAAAAAAAGCGAAAGTAGCAATTAATAATAACATACACAAACAATCAAATATAGGCAACACAAGTCAAATTAATTGCAGTGAAACTCTGAACGTTCAAAAGGATGTGTTAACGAATTTGAAAAACAATAAGAATTTTATCAGTCATGAGAATATATCTCGTAATTGTAGTGTTTGTGATAAAGCAGGCCATAATGCTCGAACATATAATGTGGATAATACAAGTCAGGATGATTACAGAGCAGAAAATTCAAATATTATAAGTATAGGTAGGTTTAAGGTTCATATCATTAAATCAGTTAATGATACTAATTGTTAAATTTATAATAGTGAACACTTTTCGTCGTTGCGGTGTTTGTGGTCAAACAGGTCACAATGCACGGACATGTGGTTTGGATAGTTCTAAAATAAATAACATTATTCAAGATGGGTATAGTGATCATGAAGACGATAATTTATTATTATCAGTCATAAGACATAGCGGTGAGTATTTAACAATAAATTTGTACGTACGTATGTATCAATGAAATGTTTGAAGTTACTAATTATTAAATTTTGTGTATTGTAGTACACGAGAATCCTAATCATGACAATAAGTCCTGTCATTGTGGTGTATGCAGCCAAACTAGTCACAATGCTCGCACATGTAGTGTTAAAACTTAGTTGTAAGTGCAATTCATGTATTTTGCTCAGATTTCATGTATTTATTATATATTATGTGTTATTTATTTGCATATGTTAGTAGCGGTAGTATTGCATTTATTTGTATATGTTAGTAGTACTGCATTTATTTGCATATGTTAGTATTGCATATGGTTGTATTATTGCATTTTGTTATATATAGAGTTTTAAATGTTAATTTGAGCTTTGATGAATTATTTCTATTCATTGTTTCAAGAAGGTCAAGTTAGGGTAGGTTAGGTTAAAATAGTTTTACTTCGATTCCTTTTTTAATTGATTTAAAAGTCCTGATCAAGTTACTTGGTAAGATATGGCTTGGTTAGGATTAAAAGGTTTTATGTTTTTTGCACTTGACCGATTTTAAAAATTTTTTGTTCATGATAGTAAGGATAGGTTAAGGTTAGGGATCATAATTTCTTGGGTTCTCAAAAGTTTCAGAATGAATATTGCAATTTTTGCTTAACAAGAAATAATATGTTGATGCTTCATTTCGTGTTTGATTTGTGCCTAGCTAATCCGTCATTGCATATTTTCTCGATAGTTATTTTGCCGATAGGCTATTTACATGGCATCACATAGGGCGTCTTTATTAGTTGCAGGTATATATGTTGTAAGTGGGAGTAGATTTGGAATTTCCTAGTTAAATGAGGGTTAGGGTTAGGGTGTACATATGATAAAATCAACCCCAAAACAGGGGTTTTATATATAAATTCCGAATCCACTTAAATTTCGTTTCCACTTACAATATATGTATATTACCAGTAAATAGCCTGTGAGAAAATGACCATCAGAAAAATTAAATATAACTACGTAGCTAATTCAGATCAAAAATTGTTTGGTTAATTTCTTGTATGTATTATCATATCTGTTAATGAATAAATATATTGCATAACGTGAATGATATGAACTCAAAAAAGAAATTGTAAAAACTATCTGAATATTAAAGAATTTCATCGTTATACATTTGTGTTTGTACTTTGCTTTATTTTGATTGTTTTTATTCATGTAATATCAATAATGCATAATATTTATGTGTAACATATATATGGTGTATAATTTATAGCGTATAGCACCTATGGTGTATAACACCAATAGTGCATTTTAGTAGCGTCGTTTAATAATAACCTTAATACTATTTAACAGTATTTTTTTTAAATATTAAAATCATATAAAAAATAATTATTTTTATTTTTACAAAAGGTATATAAATATAAGGAACAGGTATTTTCACACCTGATTTTGGTATTTTCACACCTTTAATTATGAGCATAATACATAAAGTGTATTATCGTTGCAGCAAAAATAAAGCATCATACATATTATATTACTCAATTTTTTAAGCTGGAGTATTTGGATCACTTATCATAATATTGTTATAATTTTATAATGATAATTTATAATTTATAAGGGTGTGGAAATACCAAAATCGGGTGTGGAAATACCTATTCCCTAAATATATCATAATCACTAACAGTTATAGGACATGTTCATATAAAATAGCTTCAAATATAATTACTTATAAATCAAATGAGTTAACACACCTAATTTTATATGTAAATTTATGCAAAAAAATCATTTAAGTTAAATTTATTTTAAAATATACATATAAAATTTTCTTTAAATTTTAAATATATATTCTTTAGTATTTAATACTCTCTTGTTTAAAGTTTTGATTTTTAATTTTAAGCAGAGGGCTAAAAATTTTTCTTTAAAGTTGGACAATTCTTTACTATGTTTTTTAAGTTAAATGACTAACACACCCTAAATAATTATATGATTAGTTAAATAATCTTTTAAAGATTAAAGAAAGGTCTACTAAGTAAAGGCTTCTTTTAGCTTTAAGTAAAGTTGTAGAGGAGGTTCTTCTGGTTCTAATAGTAATTAAATAGGCTAGGTGCTGAGAAAAGGGACCAAATTGACAATTTTTTCAAAAGATATTTTTTATATAAATCAATTTAGAATAAGATTAGAATCATTTTTTATTTAAGATACAAAAGTAATTGTATTAATAAAATTTTGTGGTATAGCTCTTTAAAGTTTGTATTTTTTTATAATTTATTATAAAATTTATAATATAAAAATTGATTTTCCAAGAATCTTTTTTTTTGTCAATTTGGTCCCTTTTCTCAGCACTTAGCCCAAATCATTAAAATTGGCTTGGTGGATCCCAAGATACTTAGGTTAAAGAAGAAAACATAAGGATCTACAAATTTATTATTACACAAAATATTATATATTATAATACTTTGTATAACAATAAATTTGTACATAGATCTTTATATTCTCTTCTTTAACCCTAAGTATCTTGGGATTCACCAAGCTAATTTTAATGATTTAACCACTATTAGAACCAGAAGAACCTCCTTTACAACTTTATTTAAAGCTAAAAGAAGCCTTTAATTAGTAGACCTTTCTTTAATCTTTAAAAGATTATTTAATCAATCATATAATTACTTAGAGTATGTCAGTCATTTGACTTAAAGAACATAGTAAAGAATTGTCCAACTTTAAAGAAAGATTTTCAGTCCTCTGCTTAAAATTAAAAATCAAAACTTTAAAAAAGAGAGTATTAAATGCTAAAGAATATATTTTTAAAATTTAAAGAAAAATTTATATATATATTTTAAAATAAATTTAATTGATAATTTGTCACTCAACTGAAGAAAATGATCTGCAATTACTATGTAAATATGACGCAGTTTACATAATAAAAAACCTAATTGGGAAATGTACAAATTTTTATACGTATGAGTGCGTAAGAGTGAAAACCTGTAACCAATCATAGTAAATCATTAAATCTATTTTCAGGTTTTCACTCTCACGCACTCATATGTTCAACACTTATTCTGTATTCCCTTGTAATTTTGCGATTCTAAACTTGTAATTCAAGGTTCGTTATAATTTTTTTATTTTGCATATTAAATTAGAAATTACCAAGTCGTAAGGCTTGCTATTTGAATTCGTATAACTACTAATCACTTAATCTACCTGCTAATTAAAAACCAACCAACCACCCAACCCACCAACTAAAAACTAACTACTCGGCCCACCTATTTATTAGTTAAGAACCAACCTCTAATATACTCGCCAGTTAGAAGTCTACCCATCTAATTAAAACCAACCTATCACTGGATCTGTATTATTTAACCAACAATCATTCGTAGATACCACATTTCGCCAACAATTATTAACCAACAAGTTCATTTTATCGACAGTCTATTTCGCCGAAGCTCATTTTGTTGACAAGTTTTTTTTTTTTTTTATAAATTATACTAATTTAACTCTAATTCTAACCTATTCCTAATTATATTAACCAAAATTACCTTGTTTGTAAAATGAGCTTCAGTAAAATGAACTTGTCGATAAGTAATTGTCAGTAAAATATGGTGTTTACGAAGTGATTGTTGGTGAGTTTATTGGATCCCCCTATGGCTTGTTTAAAACTAGCCTACCCTACCCACCCGCTAGTTAGTTTAGTTCACAACCTACCTACTAGTTTAATCTATTAGTCGCTAGTTTAAAACTCATTAATGCCGTATTAAAAATGTAATTAAAAAAACTTGTAATAAAATTTTAAAATAAAATTTATCTTTAAACCGGCAATAAAATTTAT